ATATTTTACTCTATGGTCATAATGTATCTTCCATTTTTAAATTGAATTCAATTGTTATTGGAGTAAATTAACAATGGTGCCGATTTCGTCGTAGCTCTTTCTTAATTAAATTAATAAATCTAACTATAAATTTTAGTTTGTTTAAATATTGTTTATTAATAATATATAATCAAAAGACTAATTAAATTTGACGCCTGTATATTAAAATATATATAAGAATTTTACTTTTGTTATCGAAGTTAGATTTACGATCGAATATATGGCATTGACAGAACTAAACCTAAATTTAGACCAGTTTGTGAAATAGCATTGCTACCAGTGATGCCTAAACTTCGTAAGATAGTAACATAACTGGAAAACTTTAATGCCACAAGTCGCAAATCCGATTTTAAGTCATAGCACGGTATAAACTGACAGCTGACACCATGATTAATTGTGTCTCTTGTTATATTTATGCACCGACACGCGCCCTCTGCTGTTAATTACCCGACACTAATTGTTTTCTTTATAACTTATAAATGAAAAAGGATAAAAGTTAGAAAGTTTAAATATTTTGGTTTTCTTAATTATATCGTATTTTTATCTAAATAACGAGTAAAACTTGTTTGAATTAATCATAATGAAAATAATTATAGCTTTCTGGAATTGAAACATATCTAAATAGTTCAATATATTAACTTTGTCTTATAACATTGTTTTATTAGTAGAATAAACTTATAATAAATACCTATTTTGTTTAATAAATTAAATTCCAAATTCAAATTATTTCCTTTAATTTGTTAACCGCTCTTAATTTTTTTAATGTAGACAAAAAAGGACACTTTAAATGTCAAATCAAACTGTTACGTTATTTAGTTCATAATATATTCAAATTATTTCGTTCCTTTTCTAAAGAGTAAATACTTCTTTATATTTTTAAGTAATTGTCGATAAGTTTAAGATCTTATTTTTCCGTATTACGCACGTGCTCTCAATGCGACAGATTCAATAACCCTCAAAGCGGGTAACAAATCCGGACGCTACCTGTCCACGTAATTGGTACAAATCGACTAAGATCGTCCTAAAGTTCCATGCAATAAACTGTTGTAACCTTATCAATACGTCTCAATTTGAGAACTCTATTAAATCTGTAAATAATTGCGTGTTGTTCGGTTTTGTCTTATTTAATTACATATATAAAAAGTTTAAATATTATAACGCTTGATTGGTGGTTTATACTTATTAGGTATAAGAATAAAACGTCTTAGAAGAAGACCAATAGAAAAATACAAATTAAATAGTGTAAGTATAATAATAATATAAGTCATAGTCTTTGGTACTCTTTATAGGTACTTAAAAATTTATAATCATCAGTCTATAAATGAATGGAGTCGAATAGAATAGGAGGAATGAATACATTATCTCTCCCTCTAATAATAATAATGCACCTGGAATAGTAACTTCAAATCACCCATCCTATGACCGGCCCATCGCCAAAGTTGCATAACTTCCGAATCGCAAACCAAATCCACTAACTACTGTGCCATCGAGTATCCCTGAAATCTATAATACAATAATTCTATGAACTTCAACAAATGACTAAAATTGTTTTCATAATACGAATTACTTATGTGAACTTATGTGCGCTAAAATGTATTTTAAATGCTAAGTGTTTTAAAACAAATATGGTAGTGACACAACTTAAGTTTAATTTATTATCAGTTCTCTTCTTTTACAAAATAATATTAAATACCATTTCTTAATTTACCATTAAGATAATGGTAATCCAGCTATACCATAGTAATAATATAAAGAGGAATCATTTAGATTTTTCATTTGATTGTACTAGATTAATCAAAAACTACTGAACCGTTTCAAAAAAATCTTTCACCAATGTAAAATTAGGGGAAACCATCGGAATTAGACATCTTAAGCTTTGATGAGCTATTGAACAAACACTGATAGACATAGAAATAAAATAATGACAGTTTTTTTGCGGGATCGGTGCCATGTACTTATCTTGTTTTTGCTGAATTGCCGATATTTCGGCGCTGTTGTAAGCGCCGTAATCACGGACTGTCTCAACCCGTAAAAAAACATCATTCTAATGTAAATTACCATGAAAGCCGGACACCGTGAAAGAAAAATTCAATATTTATCGAGTTTGTAAGAGTAAGTCACAATAATATATATTAAAAAATTTATCCCTTTTTACAACGCTTTTTCTTCTTTATAGCGGGGTCACTATAAGGAGATACTCGTTAATATTCATATACTTATAAAAAATTAGATAATATCCGTTTAGTTTGGGTCCACCATTGACCACAATCCACAATGCACTTCTGCCGAATCGCCGCTTTTAGTTCCGTTTTCAAAAACAAATATTCTTATTATATTTAAACTTTTCTCTAGGATCGTTGGTCCTAGACAAAAGTATAAAACAAACCTTTTTCTTAGACCACGAAATTAAATTAAATTCGTTTTAACTTATCTGGTATTTATGACCTAGAGAAGTGACAACATTTGTTTGTCTAAAGAGAAAACAGCTCTTTAACATCTTTTTTTAACTGAAATAACAATAACATTTTAAGTTCAACATATGAAGAGCACAGTCAATGAAGTCCTTAACGAAAGAAGAAAATTGATCTTTGGAATAAGCTAGATTTATGCAATAAAAAATACTAAGCCAATCTGTAATTATTTCTAAGGTGAGATAGAAAGATTTATCGATGTCAACATGAGCTACAGGTACTCGTATAAATTCGTTAGGTCAGTGATGCGACGGATTTACGAATACAAATCTTCATTTTGCCAAACAAACTGCGTCAAACTTTATTTTGGGACTGCTACGATGTAACACAGAAGAAAAAATAAAGTAAACATATAAAGATTTAGTCTTTATAATTATGTTTACTTCATTTTTTACTTAAAAACATCCTAAAATACCTTAGTAGGATAAAAACTGGACTTTAAAAAGATGGAAATTAACCTGTGAAAACCTAAAGTTCAACAATTATAAAATATGAAAGACAAGAATGACAAGAAATTATATTTGTCATACCTATGCTCGTATTTACCTAATTCGTTTAAAAACGTATATATAGCTTATTTACGTATGGTAATAAGATAATGACTGTGATTAGAGATCATATTGATGAAGCCGTTTGTTTGGAAAAGGCTAGACAGATATGGTTGTTTAGGGGATGTAATAATAGCATGGAATAATTCTAGTACATAATTGAAATGACGTCACAGGATCAATTGACAACATATATGTATTTAGGTGATTTCTCAGAAACAAATATAAGTATAAAATCTGATCCTTTTTTAACAATACTTCTAGAGCAACAATATTTATAACGTTAAATACAAAAATAAAAACTTATTGACAATAATTTAATTCTTTTATAATGAAATATATAAAAATGGTATTCCTTAATTTCCTAACTCACACTATTCATTTCTTAAATAGGTTGATTGTAATTATTTTTATATATTCCAGTCACAGAGGAAAAAAATCGTTCAAAAATGTATCAAAATACAATATAATATTAAATGTCTTCTGATTAACTGAATGTTTGGCCCCAACGACAATATCTTATAATCAAATATTACTCAATAATATTTTCACACAATTTTAAGTACGTATATTATTGACGAGACAAAGAGAATCCAGGATTTTAAACCAGTATTTTATCTATTAGATTTTTAAATTTTATCCAATATTATTATAGTTCCAAATCTACGACAGCCAACGACGAAGTAGTGGATAAAATTTAACGTTACACAGAAATTATCACAGCATAATTTCAAGACTAGTGAAAGTAACTTAACACTTTAATAGCAGAGCGACCAGACGTAATTAACAAACACCACTGTTCCACTCGTTATTGGGCAAATAGCACCCGACTTCGTGAATGCCTTTGTAAAACTAACAATTCCCCTTTACGAAACACAGTATTCACTTGGCTACTACATCAAAACACTTACTGTTTGGAAACAAAACAAAAATAACTCTTTTTCATTTTAAGGTAAAATATATCTTACAAGTAACTTACGCAAAATAATTTACGGCTTTATTGAATACCGCAAGGAACATAACTAGTACCTATTAGTTTTATTAAAAATGTGAATTATTAATGTTGTCATAATTTAATAAAATTTTCATTCACAAAAAAATTGGTTAGAGCACTCATCTGGATTGGAAAGGGTTATGGGTGATTTTCGTTTCGAGACTGACCCTGTAGATTTTTTGAGAAGGCATTAAGATAGATAGGGACAGAGGACACGAGGAATAGCGCGGAAAAAAATGATTTTATTTAAGTACTTTCTAACTATTACGATTATTGTAAAAGTGCTGCATAATTCCTTCGTTCACAAAGAGACGCACATATTTATCAATTTTCCCTATAGCAAAAGAGTTTTATACAACAAAACATTGAAGAATTTTCGGTAGAACTTTAAGAATTTTCCTATCGAAAACATTTTATATTTTCATTTTAGATATAGTGTTCTAATTTTTAATTACATTTTATTAGTAATATTTTTTTTGACAAATTAAATTAAAAATCCATGATTTTTCTCTGAATAAGTAGTTTAATATCAGTAGTAGGCTGTATTTGGTACGCTGTATTTATGATTGTAACTCTTTAGTATTAATACGGTACAAGAAGACACTGTATTAGTTTTGTCATATGAGAGCATACTGTATCTAGTGTAGTGGTTTGTTCATATAATTTTGTATAAGATATTGTTGACTTTCTAACGTAAGTACAATAAATGGTTTCTCATCTAAGCTTGGTCTTGTTTGTTGTAAGTGAAATGAGATACTGATTTATTTGTTCCAAGGAGAATAATAATGTCTTTGTGGAGGAATCAAATGAGAATTACATTTTCATCTATTTGTTTTTTGTACTAATTATTTCTGCACAGTTTTACTAAAAAATAGGCAAATATGTTAACTGATAATTCAAACTATTTAGAAATATTTCTAGAACCAATGATTTTAGCTTGAAATCAAAATGCTGTAAGTTTAGGAGGCATGGTCTATTTTTCCGCAGACATTCGAGCCCTTTGACATAATATTCCTTTGTACACAGCTTTATAATACTCCTACAGTTACCCACTAACAAGATACAGTCTTTTCTAACACTATCCATTTGGTTCGCATCGTTTGCAGTCTTTCTGTTAAACAATGACGAAATAATGCGATGCTCATATTTATTGTAAAAATAATATATATATACATATTATATATCAAACTGAATTAATTAAATTATTATCTTTTACAAACGAAAATAATATAACATCAAATCTTTCCTTTGTTTCTACTTAAGTATACCTACCTAAATAGATTTCGTTACCCATTCTTTTTAAACATCTAAAATCGTAATCAAAATGAAAAAAAAACTTTTTAATTGAATGAGCAAAATACACAGAAATGTATAATTTGACTAGTGGCTTATATCCTAATATAACTAAGGTAAATTCTACATAATTAATTATAGGTCAACCAATAGAAGCCTTAGATCAGTCGTATTAATTTTTTATGTAAAATCAAATTGATTTCTGTTTAAGACCAATTCATTATCGAATCAATTGCGCAGTATATTTCATTTTCAAATAACATCTTGAGACGATTACGTTTTAATATTGCTGAGAAGCCATTTTGAAACCAATAAGTAAGAAAATTACTCATTGGATGTTGTGATGATGTTCTTATTTGAAAAATCATTATGAAAAATAATTTAAGTTTCATTTTATATTAATAAGGTAAATCACACATAGAATGGGTAGTGGGTTCGAAGACTTGAAACTTTTAAAGATTTACTGCGATCTTGGAAAATGTAACTATTGTTATAAAAACAGAATTAATAACGTTATTTCGTATTTCTTTTTCTAATTCAACCTACACGCTGTCCAAATGAACCTCACAGTGTGGGTCTGTGATAATAGCGGCCCTCACAAAAACCAATAAGTCTACCATTACATAGAACATCGGTATGCCAATATCTCACGCACTTTGAGAATCAGAATTCCGCACGCATCTATTCAGTTTACAAGATTAAAAAGTTCTGGTGTCAAGTCTGAGACATTAAGCAGGACATTCGGATAACGCTGTAGCGCTAATATAAACGCTATCAAAGTTTTATTTGATAATTTTCGCATATTTCTTCGACTTTAAAAAACAACAATATAATTATTGTCATATTACTCATTTAACAGAATAAGTCAATTATATATTTTTTGAAGAAACGTATTTTTAAAGAAGATTATTGGAGGTAAAATTATTTCATTAATTGTAACGAAATTATGAGGAAACCACCGTGATCATAAAGCGTTATTTGTCAAACATTGTCTATGGCAATATGGTGTTCAATCGCTGAGATCTGAGATCACTGCTAATTCCATTTAAAAAAACGCAAAATTCTCTTATTTAAGAGTATTTAACCTATGAATAAATACTTTTCTGTAGGCCCGTTGGTGACAAACACAACATAAAAAATATTTATTTCCCTGTAAGTTAAAATGCTATTTTATATTTTAGCTTCGTTACATTGACGGACCTTTGAACAAGAGAATTGGAAATATATTTTTATTTCGTTTTTAAAATTCTGTTATAATAATTGATCGATATAGAATATAGTGAGATAATAAGAAAAATATTTAACTTTGAATATGGCAGTACATTTCCGACTTTCAGTGTTTAGTTTAATTTTGTCGTATACCTAGTTCTATTTACTTTCAAAGGTCAACGTTACAATTTTAAAATTATAATAAAATAGGAGGCATTTTGATAATATCCTTTGGTTAATGTCGGCGCGGCACTCAGCTTTCTTGGACAAGAAAGGTAAAATCATGTTTTTGGATTTTAAAGTAAATATCTCCAACCTACTTTCAATAAATATTTTAAAACTTATCAGTGTTTTTATACAAGAAAATGGTTTATGCATCATTATCTTCTGTTGCCTCAAGCAGATTACAGCTCATACAACAGATTACGTTGTTTACGCGTCAGCTTTCCGAATTGCCGACAAAGCCTGCCACGGAACACTCGCTAGAATGAGAAAAAAATCTTTATTACATTTTCGACAAAGGATATTTTGTTATAAAAGGAATATTCTATATTATTATATTCGCCAATGGACAATGCCAAGTGCGTTATTAGCCTAGCTGGAGATGTCAGTGTTGTGCGCCTAAGATCTACTGAAGCGTGTTTTCCTCTACTCAAGGGTTTATTGAAAGTCGAAGAGCTCGATTGCGAAATGGTTACCGTGTTTGGTGTCATTTGCAGAGGCTGATCATAGAATGGAAGACCACAGAATTTATTATCTACAACTTCTCCATGTTTCGGGAAGTTGATCCGGGCTGCATTCGCCAACATCCATCAATGTGCACTGCCTATAAAGCCTATTCTCCCTACTCTATTTAATATTATAGTTATTGTGGCAAAGCAACTTTTTATTAATAAATGTTTTCCTCATTTGATATCTATGAACTGTATATTAAATATGTTTTGCTTACATTTTCCTCATGTTCAGTTAAGTATGGAACTATAAACATATGTATATGTTTTGTAGAAACTGTTTGTTCCTAAATAAAATAAAAATAACCAATGGTAACCCTAAAAAAAATAATATTAGTTAATATTATCCCAAAGAACTAAACAACGCTATTTATAAACTAGCTTTCCGTCAGCGGCTTCGCCCGCGTAGTCCTGTATGTATAAACCTTCTTCCTAAATCACTCTGTATATTGATGAAAATCGCATTAAAATACGTTGTGTACATATGTCGTTTAAAAGTTGTAAGCGGCAGCGGGAGGCGACTTTATTGTGTACTATGTATAGATTATTATTTACTAGATAATCATGTAATAAAATTACCATTGACCTAGGGAACTTAGTAATGCCATTTTGTTTAATTATAACGTAGAGGAACTCGCTTCTAATATTGCTTTTTTGATGAAAGTATACATGATCCAGTAGCTTTTGAATTTATACAATACAAATTTACAAAAAAAAAACAAAGTTGAATATGTTCTCTTTATAAGTACCTTTAGGTTGATTGTTATTTAAAATACTCGTATTATCTACTGAGAAACTTTGAAACTACAATTCTCGTAATTCATATATTTTAAAGTGCTATTTCGATACTTTTGAGACTTATTCGATGACTTCGCGGAACACCTTAACTTATGATTTATTTATTTATTTATTTATTTATTTATTTATTTATTTATTTATTTATTCATTTATTAAAACAAAATCGTACTAATTATAGGGAGGAAGATCAGTAAATTTATTTCACTTTATACCTTATTTTTGAGGTTATAATACTTTATAAAAAGCAGCTTAATTTTATGATTACAAATATTTATACAAAAAAACAAGTTTACAACCATAGATGTACGATTTTTTCGAGCCGAGACACGTAAATCCATTATACCTAATTAGGTATAATGGATTTAACATAATTATGTGTGTGTATTATTAATTAACAAGATTTGGCGTTGGAGTAAATTTACGCTGAGACTGCACTTAGTATTAGTCAAAATTCATATTATTAAACAGAGACTTGGCAAAGGTTCACCTAGTACGAGGTTCTACGGGAGTAACATTTACTCCTAAAAGGTATTATTAGGTTAGCTTATTCTCTGTATAATATGAATTTGGACTAATACTTAAATTGCAATTTTAGCATATATTTACTCTGACGCTAAACCTTTATTATTAATAGCACTGTGTGTGTTGACTCGTAATATTGTGCGTCCCTGTTTTTATTGGCTTTACAAAACTATACACAGTTAATTTAAAGTTCTGAAACGCTTCTACAAATAGATGTTCAGATGGGATAGATGTTCAAATAGATATTTGAAGAGGCGTTCTAGAACTCTTAATTTACTAAGCCAGTTATGTTTTAAAGAGTTCATAACCTGAAATCGTCTCTGAAAATAAATAAATATTGGTAAACTGGCAAATCCATTAGAGAGAAAGCTGCGTGCGTACGCGACATTCATTCTTTCTACGTTTAACGAAACAAGACAGAGATAAAGCTTTCATTCACAATTCCCAATGTAAATTTTAAACAAATTTAATCAAATTTGAGACCCAAACAATCATTTGAAAATATTTTAGTTTTTTTAGAAAAGGCCATTTTATAGGTGTTCTTCAAAATTAAAGTTGTATATAATTGCGGTCCAACTCTAGTACAGCATTGGAAATAATTTATAAAGGCATACATTAAACAGAATTCTGATTAGAATATTCTATACAACTTTATGGCTATGTCTTCGACGTGTGGAATTTGGTTATCATCGCCTTAAAAACTTTATTATGTCCTTTCTATACGTGTTACTAATTCAAAATGTCCCCTCTATCTGTAAAGCAAATTTCACTAAAATTGGTTTAGTAGTTTAAGGGTGAAAACGTAACAAGCACCCACACACAGAGTTACTTTCACATTTATAATGTTAGCATGGATAATCTTAAATGGATAAGATTTATTAAGATTAAGAGCCACGCTTCGGCATGAATGGGCCGGCTCGACCGGAGTGATACCACGGCCTCACAGAAAACCGACGTGAAGCAACGTTGCGTTGCGTTTGTTTGCGTTGTGTTTCGTCGTGTGAGTGAGGGTACCGGAGGCCCAACCCCTCCCTATTCCCTTCCCTCTACCCCTCAACCCTTCCCTCTAAGGCCGGCAGCACGCTTGTAGCCCCTCCGGTGTTGCAGGTGACCATGGGCGACGGTAATCACTTACCATCAGATGATCCATCTGCTCGTCTGCCCCTATCCCATAAAAAAAAAAATTATGAATTTGCAACTGTCATTAAGTTTATTACTGTCAATAATAAGTAATTGTAATTCGTTACATTCATTCGCAGATTATTTCTCAGTTGATATATTTCTGTTACCGGTATAACAACGAATACTATAAACGAAATTAAATAAATATTTGGCGGGCTTCCATAAAATAAATGTGTTTTTTTTTGCCTTTTTTATAGATAAAGATACGGGACCCTTCGTACGCGAGGCCGATCCTTACTTGGTCTGTTTTTACCTAATAAAATAGCACAGCAGGTAACGTTGTATATGTTACTTATTAGTAATACATATATTGTTGTTATTTAGCAGTGAAACCCGTGTGGCGGCGTTATGCGTGTTGCTATGTTGCGTGGTAGGCGCACTGTGTGCGCCGGCGCCGCTGTGTGCGGGCGCGGCGGAGGACGACCCGCGCGCCGCCAGATTCTGTCAGGCGCTCAACACCTTCCTAGAGCTGTACGCGGAGGCGGCAGGAGAACAAGTGCCTGAATACCAAGGTAGAAACTATCATTGTCTCTTATTCACCGAGTGTAGTTAGTGAGGAGCTCAATGGACTAGTGTTTAGCGTGTTCGGAATAATGATGGACCTGACAAACAAAATTAAAAGAAGTTTTCAATACTTCCCGAATTTTCGATCGAAGAGAAATTGAATAGGCCCTTATCCTATACGAGTTATGAGTAACTTATTTTTTTGAACGCTAGGAAATGCATTACGCATACCCACATCCCCCTGCGCGAGGTCCACGGTTTATGTGGGATTCTCATAAGCCATACATACACACTAAAATCAGATGTCGAAAGCGACCTCACGGCTAATAAGGCTACGATTAGAATGTTCTTATTCTACATGGGTTTCCTAAAATGATGGGTCTTCTTAGGCAGCACCGTTTAAGTAAAATTTTTGAACGAAGTAGTCGTATTTTTTTTGAAGTAGGTATTTTTTAATTGAATTTGACTTGTTAAGAGTTAGTTGCACGAACGTCCATTATGGTTTAATGAGGACTTATAGCTCTAATGAATATTAAATTTCTATGGCTAATGTCGCTATAAACTAATGACAATTTTAATGAAAGTTTGTGCAACGCATTGTGTCTATGATATAAACGAGCACAAGACTTAAAAAATATTAAACCAAGCTGAGATATCATTTTTGTAATGAAAATTAAAGATCTATGTTTGACAGGACCATAATTTTTTATTTAGGTTCGTATGTTCATAGTTTACAAAAAAATTGACCTCATGTTATATCAGCGTTATAGATAATAGTTTTCACATTAATTAAGTTGTTCCAGCTCTCGTCCGTGACTACCCTCAACTCCTAGACACAGGCATGAAGCGGCAAGATGTCGTGCACTCGTTCCTGCGCTTCGGGCGTCGCCGCTGACCTGATCACGCGCACACCACATCGAAACGCGGCAACGTGGCTTGAATTTACCCCTTACTTTTGAAACATAATTTTTCGTCCAAAACATTAATGTTTAAAGTTCCTTTAGGCCAAATTAATTAAAAATAAACTTTAAATGTAAGTTAAAAAAATATCCGACACACTGCGAATGTCATTTCATTCTAGGTCCTCTAAAGGAGCGGACGTCTGAACCTCTCTCTCCAAATTTAATTGTATAACAAGTGTAAGGATTTAGGCTATAAAATGTACTTATTTAATATGAATTAATAGTTTTAAGGATGTAATTAACGATCTTGTTGTCAACGTTTTTGTGGCATTTCATTTGATAAGCAAATAAGAATGTTTTCAATAAATAAAGTTCCATATTTATGACAAGCTTTAATTTTTTAATTAATTCTTCTGTTTCCAAGACCCTATTGTTTTATATCGACTGTCGACTGTATTTTTACCTGACCCAGCAAAGGAAGGGCGCGTTATGTTTTCGCGCGTAGATACGCGTGTATCTTGTATGTAATATTCTTTATTACCTCATATCTTTAGAATCGCTAAATGGATTTAGAAAATTGAGGTATCGTTTTCTTAGTAGACCAAAGTTCTTAAATAGGTAACGGTAAAAAAAAAACAAATATGGCGGCTGTGCGACGCCATTATATTTAATGGTTGTTTTTTGAAATAGAAATAGAAATAGAAATAGAAAACGTTTATTTGGTATAAAATATAAAGTAACACAATATTACATAGCAAAAATCAAAAAAACTAAATTATACCAAACGGGCCTCTGCTCAGTATGAGCCGAAGCAACGTTTGCTACGGCACTGATTTTCAGCAGATGCCCCGAGACTTTAGGTTAACATTAATAATTAGTAATACCAATATTAGTTACTCCATTACAATTACTATTTAATTAAAACTACAATTAAAATAACATTTCAGTATACAAATTCACACGAATTTATAGCATGGGGTTAGAAATGGCATCAGGCTGCGGCACTTCAGAGAAAGCAATCACTACTGTGTAACATTTGACATACTCTTTTGTGTAACCAATAAATGACTCTTGTATTTTAACTTAAAATTGTAACCGGACACGGAGTTCCTTATTGGTGGAGGGATATTGTTCCAGCACTTCGTAGCTGAATACCTAAAGCTACCCCGAAATGCACTGGTCCTATATGCATTGTATTTCATGCGTGAAGCAATTCGTGTTTGACGTTCCGAGAACCTTAATTTTTCATACAAATAAGTGGGACACTTGTCTTTAATCACACCGAATAATAAACAAGCAAAGTGCAGTTTCCTACGGTTCTCCATGTTCAACATATCACTTCTGTTTAGATACGGAGTCACATGAGCGTAACAAGGAATGGGAAAACAGTATCTTGCACAAGCATTCTGTACTCTCTGTATGAGCTTTTTTGATCTAGCTAGAAGACATCCCCCAATGACTGTGTCTGCGTAATTTAATTTCGACAATATAAGCGTCTCACAGAGACGTATTCGTAGTTCTACGCTTAAATACTTCTGTATTTGGTAGAGGATCTTTAGCCTGTAGAAACACTGCCTGACCGTATCCGCAACGTGTTTCTCAAATCTCATATCACAATCAAACAGTACTCCCAAATTTCTAGCCTCAGTCACTTGATCAATTACATTGCCTCTAACTGTTAACACAGGTTTATAGGTATTAATGCAATTCGTTTGCGTACGAGTGCCAGAAACAAGCAATTTTGTTTTCGCTGGGTTTAGCAACAGACCGTTCATTTCCGACCACTCAGCTATACGAGCCAGATCCTCATTAAATTCATTTGCCGCTAGAACCGTGTCAGCGGGTCGAAATGATTTGTAAACCTGTAGGTCATCAGCGTACAGGTGATGCTCACAATTAGCAATACACCTTGGTAAGTCAGCGGAGTATAAAATAAAAAGAATAGGCCCAAGAATAGATCCCTGAGGCACACCACAATATATAGGAGAAGTAGTAGAGTATCTTTTAGTGCCATTGGGAGATGTAACCTCAACCTTTTGACAACGGCCTGTGAGATAACTTTTAAACCACTTAACAGTGTTATCATTAAACCCATAATAAGCAAGCTTCGCCAGAAGTAAAGCAATATTAACAGTATCGAATGCACGAGAGAAATCAAGCAAAACCAAAATTGATCCCTTACCCATATCTCTACCCGCCAATATGTCATCAATGACATCCAAAAGTGCAGTCGCTGTACTCATACCCGCTCTAAAGCCTGACTGCTTTTTTGGTAAGGTTTCAAATACTACAATATTGGTATCAAATTAAAGGGCTTAACCCAAAGATATCATGATTATCATTACCGTAATACTAATAAGAATAATACAACGATAAAATTAAAAATATGGACTTTGTTCTTTCACTTTCTGAACCAACCTGGTAAGTTGTCTAACTAAAAAGACTTTAATAAAATTATAATTAAAACAAAACTAAAACCCGACTGTATTTAAACTGAGAAGGCTGGAACTAGGTAATAAAATGCAACATCATATATATAACATGCAGTCGGAGACATATAATTTAATAATAAGTTAAATAATTATCTCTTTGTGCATGTTATGTATGATCGTATGGTGTTGCATAAATTTATTATCTTGTTCCAGCCTTTTCAGTTAGTTGTTTATTTTTTACTTAAATTGTTTATTTAGCATCTATATTCCACCACCCATTCAGATTTTTTTTTACAAATGTAAGAGTGGGTCAAGAATTACCGTACGACGACAATTACCTTATTCCAAATACATTTTGCAATAAAGATCCAGGAATGTTTGAAAGAAAAAGTATTATAATTAAATTGAATTTAATTATAATACATTTTTTTATATGTAAAACTCCTTGGTAAATAAATAAAAGAAAATACAGTCTACTATAAAATTTAACTAAACACTTTTTTCTTTTCAACATTTTCTCAAAAACTATCGTCATGGGTTGTATCTGGTTTGCATAACTACGTCCAAATAGTTTATTATAGTATTATCTATTTAAAATATTGATTTTTAAAAACAATGTTTTTTTACTTTTCATACAAAAATTGCCACCCTACCATTTTCATTTGTTTACGGGTCGTATATAAATGTAGTTTCTGAATTTAAGTACTTTTAAGTGTCCTTAAATTCAGAATAATTTTATATTATAAAACCTCAATGAATTCATTGAGGTTTTATAATATAAATTATTTAAATGCGAAATGCGAAAAAAAAATGTCAAAGTATCGGTTATTAAGCAAATAATTATGAGTTATTATTTGGAATTGGTATCGAACTATAACCACTTTCAGGTAGATAGTAAGTACATCGGCCAAATGCCAGTAGTCCAGATTAGACAGACAGATAACGTAAACATGTTCGAGTTATACAAATAACCGTAATAAAACCACGACTATCAAAAACAATTTCAATATTATTACAATGTTACCGACCCTTTACATACATTGTGCCGATAACTTTATTACAAATCAATGTGCGTTAAACTTTGTGTTAAGTGGACCATTAAAATTATTATTTCAATGTGAAATTAGAATAACTTTCGGATTAATTTGTATGAGTTTTTATTGTCGTTTAAACTAGGTGGGATTATCTAGGTATACCGTTTTACTGCCTATTAAAAGTTCCTTTTATAATAATAATGGACTCACGGTCAGTTGCACAAACGATAATTAAAGTTAAACGATTTTAAATAAAAAAAAATATATAAATTTTACAATTTGTTTGCGTATTGTGACATTAAACTAATAACAATTTCAATGGATGTTTGTGCAATAGGCTGTTAGTTGTATTTAAAAAAACTAACCTGGAGGCATAATCTACTTAATATATTTTCCATATAGTACTAGGACCAAAGGAAGATTGAGGAGCTCAATAGTGGAAATGGTTAGCGCGTTCGATCTGCGATGAGGAGGTTGGACAACATACGTAAGTGCTTGTTATATCTCGAGCTCCATCGTACTTCAAAAGACACGTTAAGCCATGATCTTATCTGCATCTATAGTCGTTAATACCCACTAATCCGCACTGTTCCCTGTGGTGTGTTATGGTTGTGCTCCCTTGTCGATATTCGATTCGATACTATCCAATAATATCCATGTGCTCCAACAGTAGGAACATTGACAAGCTGATGATGATCCATGACAAATCCTATTTTAATTCAGGAATTTCAAGATTACCAGGAAGATTAAAATACGCAATTTATAAAGTTGGGTAAAATCTCTAATTATCAACAACTTTTCTTGTGAATCGTTCAGTAAGTCCTTACTTTTATGTAATAAATAATACAGTATAATATAGTAAGTTAAAACAATCCTGAAAGAATGAAATTTGATTTTCGCATTATATTTGTGCCGTTTTGATGTAGACACACACGGCTGCACGTCAAGTTAAAATATGTCAAATTTCCTCAAGTGATATTGTAGTCTACTTTGAATATATTAAAGCTTACAATCAAGTGGAGAAAAAGGAGTTTTATATAGCCTGAAGTGCTGTGACTGTACTTTTAACCGAGGTAATTTGAACTTTGCTACCTTCAAGCTTCAAGCCATTGTTGCTTGCGCTCTATCATCAATGATTCGTACAAAAACAATGGGAAATAAGTTTCCTTTGAACAAAGAGAATTGTTCAAAGCATTTAGTGTGCAAATTGAAGAGCACGAAGTTCCTTTTATACAATCGACGCGAGGGCGATAGATGAAGAAACACCGAGTTTTACACCAGGTTTCTGAATTGAGAATTTAAAGTTAAGCACGTATCAAACCATACATAGACCATCTTAAACAAGTTTCAGTTTTTTTTTGTAATGATCTGTTGATTGCATTTTGATAAAACTAGAACTTTTTGTGAAACGTCAAAAACTTAAGTTATTAAGAATAATCAGTTGAGTTTTTTATTTTTATAGAATTCGGTTGTTAATCCCGTAGCTAGTTCAAACTATGCGGTCCAAATATTTATAAAATATTAAACGTATGTACTGGTTTCATCATAGCATCATCCGAGGTTATTTTTTAATCTCTCCAGACTACAGAATAGAGCTTTAGTCAGCCGATGGTTTGGTCCAGGGATCGATACAGTTATGAGGTTCAACTATAAGATATCGTTTAAATATAAGTAAAATTTCTGCTTGAGGTTTTATTTAAAATAAATGATAATTTCTTTTATTGTATTGTCAATTATCAGTATAAGGTTTGTGTGTTTCGAAAAAGGTGCTGAATGTAAAACATAGTTGAATTGAGGAACAAAGTTAACGATCAGCAACTGAGTTCCATTTTATTACTTTTTGTTAAGTGAATTGATTAAATTATTTATCACAAATAGGAGAATTCGGCTCTCATATCAAATATCTATCTTTCAGTTAGAGTTAATTGTAAATTAGTATGGTTTCTCGACTATGGATTCTTAAATATTGTAAATGAAACATC